GGCGAGACTGCCTTCCTTGCGGTTGCCAAGCTGCATCATTTTCTTAATCCTCATCCTGATCTTCCCCACGGTTGATGCTTTTGGTTCTTCCATATCATGATCAATCGCCCTGATCATTCAACCCAATCCAACCCAACAGTTCTTCACATGCACTTTTCCTCCTTGAAAGATTTGAAGAGGTAAAAGAGAAAACTAAGAAACAAAAAAAAATGCAGAAGAAAAGTGCAGAGGAAGCTACTGGAGAACGAAGTAAAGACTGATTGAAATCTTATTAACTGATTTCTGTTACAGTACATTTGCACTTATATAGTCCAATTGAACGGCAGTGCTTTTAGAATCAGAAATTACACTTAGTACTGCAGCTTATCACAATCATTACAAACAAGACCCCAGCTTCTTTAAACTCCTCTGTTTTTCACTGATTTCTCACAGCACTTCTGCTTAACATTTCCCCTTAAGCTAAACATCCAGTTTTCTCTTCACAGCACTTCTGCTAACATTTCCCCTTAAGCTAAACATCCAGTTTCTCCTCACAGCACTTCACTGATTTCTCACAGCACTTCTGCTTAACATTTCCCCTTAAGCTAAACATCATTTTCTCTTCAGCACTTCTTACATTTTCCCTTAAGCTAAACATCCAGTTTCTTCTCACAGCACTTCACTGATTTCTCCAGCACTTCTGCTACACTTCTTATATCATCAAATCAACTGCTGCTTCAAGCCATCATCAGAAAAAACTCAAAAGCTCAACCATATCAAAACACCAGTCATAACCCCATATCAAACCAAAACAAAAAATTGTCAATCAAACTACATCATAACACCAGTCTGGCATACACCTTCTTTTTCATCAAATCAAGATCACTTCAAACAGAAAAATTATTATTCAGTTGCTGTATATTGATGTTCTGGATTTGGCAGTAAAGCAACACATTCAGTTTATCTTTTAGCATGGAGATCTTTGTGTAGGGAGAGCTTTAGTAAGAATATCAGCAAGTTGATATTCTGATGCAACATATTTTCAGCTAACTTCTTATCCATGGCCAACTCTCTACATATGTAACATCGATTTCGATGTGTTTAGTCCTGGCGTGAAAAATTGGATTTGATGACAATGCACCCGCACTCATATTATCACACCACAGTATAGGGACAGCATTTATCTGGATTCCAAGCTCTTGAAACAGATGTTGAATCCAGACTAATTCTGTGGAAGCTTGACTTAAGGCTCTATATTCAGCCTCTGTTGAAGAAAGAGAAACCACTTTTTGCTTCCTAGAACCCATTGAACTAGATTCCCTCCAAGAAAAATATGTAGCCAGAGGTGGATCTTCTGTCCTTACATCGCTGGCCCAATCTGCATCAGCATAACCTTCTAGCAGAAATTTTCATTTTTTCTGGAAAAATAGTCCATCTGAACATTCCCTTTAATATACCGAGCACTCTCTGCATGCAGTCCATTGATTGATTGTGGTACTGAAGAAACTGACTTAACCTGTTGACTGCAAAAGCCAAGTCAGGTCTGAGAGTGTTAAGTACTGAAGGCCCCCCACTAAACTTCTATACAGTGTAGGTTGATCAAGAGGGGACTGTCCTCTTTTCCCAATTTCGTACCTGTAGCCATTGGGTATTACATGGCTTACACTCAGCTAAACCAGCTTTGCTAAGTAATTCTTGTGCATATTTGGTTTGGGTAGAGTAAACCTGTCTCATTTCTCACACTTCAAACCCAAGAAAATAGCTTATCTCTCCAAGTTTTTTAGTGCAAACACGCCATTCAAATCAGTAACAATCTGACCAATCAACTCTGAATCATTTCCATTAATTAAAATATCGTCAACATACACAAGTAAGTATATTACCTGAGTATCTTTCTTGAAAAAGAATAGACTTGTATCTGAAGTGGAACACTGAAAACCCCAGGTTAAAAGGGCAGATTTTAGCTTATCAAACCAAGCCCGAGGTGCCTGTTTTAATCCATACAGAGCTTTGTTGACCTTGCACACATGTTTGGGATGAGTCTCATCACCAAAACCCTCAGGTTGCAGCATGAAAACATTCTCCGACAGGTCTCTATTCAAGAATGCATTATTATGTCATTTGCTGTATCTGCCACTGTGGTGGACTGCCAAGGAGAACATAATCCTAATGGTAGCTGTTTTGATCACAGGAGAAAATTTGTCAAAGTAATCAACTCCTGGTGTTTGTTGAAATCCTTTCGCCACCAACCGAGCTTTGTATTTCTGAAGTGTGCCATCTGCTTTTAATTTGGTCTTGAAACCCACTTGCAACCTACTATATTCATATCGGAGGTGAGAGGAACTAACTCCCATGTGTTGTTCCTTTTAATGCTCAAATTCTTCATTCATAGCTTGTTTCCATTCTGAAATGCTTAAGGCTTCAGACACACTCTTTGGTTCAGAGAGATGGAGGTTGTGGCCAGAAAAGCTTGACTTATAATCTGGTTATTCCTGGTTTTTGATCTGGTGAGCATTGGATGACAGTTTGTAGTAGCATTGGTGTGTGCTGGATATTGACATTGCTGCATTATTCTGAGAGATGGGTAGACAACCTCCAGTGTATTCCTGGAGTTGAAGGTTGATCAGAAGCAGTTAAGTGCCTGCTGTATTAAAGAAGAATCACCAAAAAAATTAGAAACATCAGGTTTTGAAACTGGGACAGTATCATAACATGTCTCATTGAACCTCTTGATGCTGTTGTAGCAGGTAATTTTATCACTTTTGTTAAGTCATGTGCCAAGAGACCCTTTCCACATAATGAATCTCCACCTGGTTTTCTAGACAATTGTGAATTAGTAGCATCAGCACCAGTGAAGTTGAATTTACTTCTGCAGTAGAAGACACGTTGTTATTAGTGACAAAAACATAATTTGAATCTAAACAATGAGCAAGGTTCCGGATGAACAAAACCCTTCAGAACTGGTGTTTGTAGATACCCCTGTAAGATCCAGATTTGTCAGTTGCATACACTTGAAATCATGTTAAAAGGAAACATTGTTTCATTGACTTGGCTTGCTTAACAATATATATCTTTCCTGTGGAAGACAAGCATTTAAACCCCTTATGAGCTGGACTATACCCATAAACACACATTGCTCAGTGTGATACGAAAACTTATGTTTTTGATAGGGTCGTATGTATGGGTAGCAACAATAGCCGAGACCCTAAGATCATGTATATGTGGTTCTTTACCAAACAGTTTCTGATATGGTGGACATCTTCAAGAGTAACAGAGGGCAGTTTGTTAACAATGAACACTGTTGTGCTAAAAGATTGCCACCAAAACATAAAGGCATTCCTCATGTGCTAACAAGTTAACCAAATTCTGTAATTGTTATGTGCCTTCTTTCCACCTTCCCTTCTGTTGATGTAATAGGGGCAGGGGTGTCTAAAACCTACGCCTGAGTTTCCAGATAAGATAAAAAGACCTGAACTCCCTCCCCATCAGTTTTGAAGATTCTTCAGTGTAGCATCTAATTGTTTTTTAGCAAACACATGAAACTAGTAACACCTAAGAGGCTTCAGACTTAAGTTTCAAAGGGTATATCCACATGTATCTACTGTAATCATCAACAAACAACATATAATATTTGAAACCTTCTGTAGAGCATACTGTGTCAGGGCCCCATAAATCTGAATAACCAATTCAAGTGGCCTGGAAGTCTTAGAATTTGACAAAGGAAAAGAAGTCTGAGCCAATTTGCCAAATTGGTAGGCTTCACAAAAACTTTTATTATAGGAAGAAATCCAGTACGTGCAATTTATTTAATACATGCTTAAGAGTTCTTTCTTGGGGATGTCCTAATTCGCATGCCACACCATTATTGACTTATCAGCTTCCAGAATTAGCAATTACATCAGATTGTACTCTATGTAATACATCATCAGTATTATTATTATGACTACACCTATTATTGAGAGTATAGAGGCAGCCACATTACAGGAATCGTTTACGCAGATACACCAGAAGATGAAAACACAGCAGGAAGAGAGGCTTCCAGTTGATATAAGCCATCCTTTAAGACACCTTGAAGGAGAACATCTCTGGTGTTCTTATCCTTAATAAGACAACGATCAACATGAAATTCAACTATTACACCATTATCCTTTGTAATCTGTGAAATACTTAGTAAATTCTTTGCTATATGAGGTACACACAACATATTTCTAAGATGCAACAATCTAGAAGCAGAACCAGAAGTTAGAAAAGACTCACCTGTGTGTGAGACAGGTACTGTCTAGCCATTTCCAACCTGCACATTTGAGCCACCTTGATAGTTGTCTTTAATGATCAGATTGTTGACATCAGCTGTCATGTGGTTTGTGGCACCAGAGTCCACATACCACGTTTGGTCTTGCACAGTGTGAGGAGAAGCAACTGGTATATGCTGAGCAGCTAATGATGAAACAGAATTCTGAGATAGCTGAGGGACAGAATGTTGTAAAGGATAACCAAGGTAGTTATGTGGTGTATTAGTCTGTGCAGTAGGAGCATTGGTTATGGATGAAAAAGGATTTCTAGAATTAGGATTTCCAACAGCAGTCTTGGGAATGAATTGCCCTGGTATGACTGTAGTAAGAAGAGCTTGTGCTGACTCAATAGAGTGATCTGGAGTAGAACTTTGTGACCCATTAAAACCAGTAGTTCCATTAAAACCAGAAGATCCAGGTACTGAGAAACCATTGAAATTAGTAGATCCAGATACTGATCCAGGGACTGAGAAACCTAGATATTCATGATCAAATCTATGATAGCACTGCAGTGCTGTGTGTCCTCCCTTACCACATACTTGACAGATTAGTTTAGGCCTAAAATATCCTCTTCCTCGGCCTCTACTTCTCATCATTCCAGCATGAAACATGTGAGACTGGTTCCCAGGGTTAAAACCATATCCAGTCTGTGAGTATTGGGAGGAATGTGAGGAATTAAAATCCGAGTGAACTGTATTGTTTAAACTGTTTCCTCTAAAATGGTTGTTACTAGGCATCTGTTGGTGAATGAAATTCTGATCTGAAGGTTGAAAAATTAGGCATTGATTGAAACTGAGGAGTAGTGAAATTATGAGCACGAAAATTCCCATTACTAGCACTAGAAACATTCTGAGAACCTAAAGAGGACTCTATCTGAGACTGTTTAGAAGCCAAAAGGGCTGAAGCCATGTGTTCATGAAAATTTGACAAAGAACTTTGCTGTCTCTCCAACCTAATCTCATGTTTATGAAGTAAGAATTGGGCTTCTTGTAATGTCGTTTGACTACTACAAGCTGTCAGATTTGCCACAACAGCATCATACTCTGGCCCTAAGCCGTCTAATATATACAGCAAAAGTTCTTTATCTGTGATATTTACTCCACTTGCTATCAATTCATCTCCTAATTCTTTAATTTTCAACACATATTCACTCACATTACAACCTTCTTTCTTAGTAATCTGTAGTAGGTTTCTCAGATGTAAAGTCCTAGCTTTGGATACCGACTGGAAATGCAGCTCTAAAACATTCCATATTTCATATGAGGTAGTGCATTTTGCTACATGCCTAAACATGGATTCAGAGATTGAGGAGTAAAGCCAGCTTACCAAGAATTGATCAATCTTCTTCCAAGTGAGGTAGCTAGGGTTTTGTTTCTTCTCTGTCTATCCTATATCAGTAGATTTCTCTAACAAGATCATCAGTGGACACTCTTTTTCACCAGTAACAAAGCCTTCGAGACCATGAGATGTCAGGGCCGGCAGGATCTGTGATCTCCAGAACGAATAGTTCTTCTCTAGCAGTTTTACAGAGACGACAGGTAGGTTGGGTGGAACTCCTGAAGAAGTGAGATTTGAACTGGAGCTATGAGCCTCCATGTTTAAAACTGTCAAGAATATTCAAGATCGAGGATGAATTTTTTTTCCCTTGGATGTTAGTCTAGGGCTCTGATACCATGAAAGATTTGAAGAGGTAAAAGAGAAAACTAAGAAACAAAAAAAAAATGCAAAAGAAAAGTGCAGAGGAAGCTACTGGAGAACGAAGTAAAGACTGATTGAAATCTTATTAACTGATTTCTGTTACAGTACATTTGCACTTATATAGCCAATTGAAACGGCAGTGCTTTTAGAATCAGAAATTACACTTAGTACATGCAGCTTATACAATCATTACAAACAAGACCCCAGCTTCTTTAAACTCCTCTGTTTTTCACTGATTTCTCACAGCACTTCTACTTAACACTCCTCATATGACTGAACTCCAGTTGGAGACTAGAGAGTCTCCGGAGAAGGCTTGACCATATAAGTTTATTCCTCTAAGCTATAAGTGACGGAGCCACTTATGGCTGAGTGGGGGCTCATGCCCCACCTAAACTTGGAATTTTTAAAAAAAAATTCCCTTTTTTTTTTTTTTTTTTTTTTTCACAAGAAGGACCCTATTTATTTTATTTTATAAAATTATTTTAATCCCACAATACTATAATTTGTCTTTTTCTTAAGGTTAATTCCTAACTATATATTTAAGTTTGTCTTTTCCTTCCCCTCGCTGAATATAGAGTAGAACAACAAAAAAGACCCTGTATTTTATTATTCCCAAATTATTATTATTATTTTTCTATCTTTTGCCTAATCAAAATAGTGGTATTAATTACTTGATTGCTTTAGAAACTAAAGATAAGATATCATTTTATAATAGTTTTTGAGAACTAGGCATAAAGTAACATTTGGAGACTAATGGATAAATAACAAATTTATTGTACATATATGAATCCGACAGTGCGTTTATGTTCTTTTAGTATACAGCCTTTTGAAATAATAGTAAATAATAATAAAGACTTGAAATCTCTTTTGATAACAACACGTTCTCATGAGATACTCAATTCAAGAATTAATAACAAAATTTTTGGCAATAGATACAATATTTGGCCGACATTTGGTGAAGAAAGCAGGGTGTCACATTTTTTAGGTCAAGTCTAGATAGATAGACCATTTGAAAACAATCATTTCGATATCAATTATTTTTTAGAAGCCAGAATCTGGTCACCATTGTCTTGATTCCAACAATCGATTAATTAATTTCTAACTTGTAATGTTTCATATAATTAACTAAAGAACATACTACAAAGGATTAAAATGAAATTAAATGACATAAATACCCTTTTATTTATAACCACTGATTACAAAGCGGGAAATATCCACTCTTATATTACAAAGAAGCTACAGTAACTTTTTTCCTATAAGCTCTTAACAACTACAATTTCAGTTCTTTAGAAAACGACAGCGTCTTGATCTTTCTCAAGCCACTCTGTTAATTTCAAAGCCTTGCACTTTCATCCTTTTACTTCTTACGGTCAACAAATACTCTTCAAAATATCCCATTCATGGACTTCTCTACTTTCAACTCCTTAAGTAATATCAGTCTCAGCCACTTGTAACGTGATCACATCACCGTCCTCTCCTGATAGGCTTCCACTACTATAAAATGAAATTAAATGACATAAATACTCTTATAAAAGCTAACCTTTCTAAAAGAAGTAGCACTTTAATTCCTAAAAACTAACGGAGTGTTAGCTGACCTATGATTAAAACATTGAAACGATGTCATATCAAGACCCTTAAATATGTCTTTCATGTGTGGATATAAGTTTTATGCCTAACCACGTTAAATTATTGTCTCTTTCGTATAATTAGTGATTTAAAACATTGAATCATCAATTTATTTTTTTTAGGTATTGAAATAAATTATTGTCTCTTATACCATTATTTCTAGGTTCAAACCCCTTATCATAGCCTTGAATTTCTTGCTTTATTTAAGAAAATCTACTACAGTATTTCAGAAATAATTTAAGAAAATAATCAAGTATTTTCTTTGAATTAATTATTTTCAAACACCTACACACCTATAATCAGTCATAAAGTAAACTGATTAGATTTATTATTCTAAAATATCTCCATTAATTGCTTATCGTTCATCTGTTATGTGCTTTTGTACTCTAGCAAATATCTTCTAATTGATAGAGCAATTGCTTGGCGCATATAGTAACCAATTTTTTTTCTCTTTGAATTTGGAGGTTAGTTAATGTAGCATGCTTCTTCGATATTTCCAATATTTCTTTGAAATTGCTATGAATTAGAGTTTGGAATTTGACTTGTTCAATTTTGATTATATTAATTTCTATGTATCAGTACAAAATCTTTGTTTACATTTCACTTTCATCAAAAACGTCCACTCAATTTCCTGTTTGTATATTTTGTAGTTAAGCGGTGTGAAACAATGGAGGTTACGTTTGTTTTACTATTTTGTTTCTATCCTATTGATATCTTACCAAAATACATATTTGTTTTATTATTCTCAAAATTCAATTATATTCTATTCAACTATTTTCAAATCTCCTAGGTTTATTAATTTAACTAACCACTCTCTATAATAAAATATTAAAAATTTATTAAAACATCGCACCCACCTATTAAATGTTGACAGCCGATCACCACCACCGAAGGGTGGTCGAAAGTTACTGTAATGGCACACGAATGGGTGAATTTGGCCACTCATGCGTCAATATGATCAAAAAAGACTAGATCTATAGCCAAAGATCTGGGCGATGGTCAGATCTTTGGTCACATCTAGTCATTGACGACTAGAGGTAGTCGTAGATCTGACCTTTTTTTATCAGATCCAGTTGGTCGTGCCCCATTACAGCGACTTCCGACCATCCTCAAGTGGTGTTGCCCGACTGCCAGTATTAAATGGTGGGTGGGGGTATTTTTGTTAATTTTCAATTTTTTTCCTCATAATAACAATCCAAGTTAACTTTTTGAAAAATACTACTCAATATAATAAAACAAACACAGCGTCCAATCTTTTCTACCGCCTACTTTTCTACAATTTAAGAGGAGACTTTGAGAAATTGCTGCCGAAGGAATCAAGCAGTGTGAAACAGTCTTTCAAAAAGAAACCAAAAGTACAAAATTAATAAAATTTATAAAAGAGTAAGTTTTTCCAAATGGCACCAATAGTTGATAATTTTGATCTTATGTATCTTACGGGTAGAAACATGATCTGATGTTGAATTATTTTGCATTGACTGCTTCATTTTGTCTATAAGTTGATCAGTTATATTTTATTCTTAATGATAATCTATATTATTGACATATGTTAGCTTAGATGAATAATCCAATTGTATACTTAATTAATTAATGATCACTCTACATCTTTCCAGTTAAAACAACCATATATGTGAACGAAATAGAGACAATAGCGAGAACAAAACAACAATAAAATAAATCACAAATAATAAATACAGAGAAAATAACACGCACGATTTACTCTAGTTCACCTAATATGGGCTACGTCTAGTTGAGTCAATATTATTACAATATTTCCTCACCTCTCTCTCGTTCACAATGAATGAATTGTCCTATGATTTGCTATCACACTCATAACAAGAGAAAAATATGTTTATATACTAGCTTTAAGTGACAAAACCTAGTTTTATAAGGATTCATATTTCTAAGCCCAACCCAATAAAGAATTAATAACTTAAAGAAATCCTACAACGACGATACATGGAAAAAACCCAAACCACCTACGAGCTCAGGGCGCTACCCCCACGACCCTCGCCTGCTGATCGGGCAGTGAGACCCTCGGAATGCATCTGTGTAACCCAATAATGCTGAAGTAGTCGGCAACTCCAACATTATGCATGTGATTGAACCAATTAATTCATTCATTATATAATAGATATCTTTTACCTTATTAGTCTTTCTTTAATCAAGTCATATTTAAAGATTTGATTAATTTGAACAAAGTTAATTAAGAAATCATTTAAATTAGTCTATATAACATATGGTTGTTTGTCCTTTAAGCCATAAGTTGTGTTTCTATCTTTGTACACTTTCTTCCTTAGTCTTGAATCTTATATTTTGATTGTTGCCGTATTTGTTGTTTTGATAAAGGCAAAAGAAGTGAATAGATGGATCATGTTGAATCTTCCAACTCCAGAGACAAAATCACTGAGACGATGCAAGTTGATTCCAATAAAGAAACCATGAAATTGGAATGCAAAGAGATTGCTCATGAATCTAAGACAGCGCAAGGTAAGTAAAAGACGCAAATCATATTAAGTGAATAGTTACCATATTGTTTCTCATGTGTACATAATTTGGAATTAATGGTAAATGGAAAGTGTACAAGAGCTAATAATGTTCAACCATCCAATAACTCGATTAGCAAAAAGTGAGACGAAACCACTAGTAGAACGAAGCAAGTTGATCTTACTGAAAAAACTGAAAGTGATCAATCAGTATTAAAAGGGAAAGGTATGTGACTCGGATAAAAATTGAAATTTCATGCATTTCATAATAAATTTTAAAGTCCTTTACATACATTTTGACATCTACGTTATTTGGAATTGACAGAGAACAAAACGACTGAGGTGATAAAAGTTGATAATGCTCGGTTCAAGCCATTAATCAAGGCTGTACAGGAGCATAATTGGATACTTTTACAAGATTTGGTAGATAGCACTCCTGGGGCCTTGACTGAAACTGTTACAGAATATGGGGATACCATTTTTCACGTAATTAATTTATCAAGTGCCCCCACTTGGCTTATCAAAAACCTTGCATTCATGATCAGTGCAGACGAACTTCAAAATTTGAGAGAAGAGTTTGGCCGATCCGTCATATTCCATGCAGCTATTTATGGCAATAAAAAGGCTGCAAAAGCTTATGTCCTCAGGCACCCAGAATTTCCAAACATAAGGAACAGAAAGGGTTACCTTCCAATTCATGAAGCAGCAGAATATGGCCACAAGGGAATAATTCAATATCTTCTGTCAAAAACAGAAGTACTTTTGGATGATGGTAAAGGTGTTAAACTGATTAAAGATATCATCAGTTCCGGTCACTATGGTAAGTGCAAAAGTAATTTTCTTGTTTGCGATATGGTTAGATAACTTTAAATTATCACATTAGAACTTTTTAGTATTGTTATTATTTTTATTAAAAAACAGGAAAAAATGAAAAGGGACATATATAATTAGTCTTGCCTCACAAATAATAATAATAATAATAATAATAATAATAAATAAATAAATAAATTATGATTATTACTTGACATAGAGTTTTATTTTAGTCAATTTAATTTGTGATAAATAATTAGCAACATGGAATATAATCAAAGAATATTTCCTGACCATGCAGGTATAGATAAATTACAATTTAGAGGTGTCATAAAATAAAGGGAGAAAATTAAAATGAAGACATACGTTAATAAAAACAATTGAAAAGGGACACAATTTTATTAAGAGAATCATTTAATTTAACTTTATAAAGGATATAAATGTAAATATATTTTATTATATAATCTAAGAGTCAAAAGAGACATCAAAAAATATTAATAATCATTCACAGATATAAACATGTGTTAGAAGTCCAAACACATAATGAAAGAACCAAAAAAAAAAAAAAAAACTTAATTGGGAGATAAAAAACACAAACCTAAGTCTACCCTTTTATATTTGCCTAATTTTTTCTATGTTCTTAGGTTAAAAGAATGAGTTTTTTTTTTCTTTTTTTATGGAGAAGAAAAAAGATGTTATTGATTTAGGTTTATTGTGTAGCAAACATGTCAAATTCCATATTAAAAAAAGTTTAATAATTTTTACCAAAAACTAATATTTGATCTATGTATTACATCACATAATTAGTGAAATAGTTAAACATAAAATCTCAAAATCTGTACAGAAAGAGATTATATTATTTATATAATAAATAAATCAAAACTTCTTAAGGTAAATTGAGATAAGGAGAAGATCCAAATTCATGTGGATTCAATTATTGCCTTATGATTAATATCCCTTTGATATCTTCTTGCATTATATATAGTCAACTTGTATGTATGAGTTAGCATGCCTTGAAGAATATCACTGTAGCATCCCTCCAGCACTCAAAGGCTGCTGAAAGGCCCCGTTAATTTACCATTCTTTCAAATCTGGAATTTGTATCCTTCTACACCAAATTAGTTTTCTTTCATGTGTTCAATTAAGTGTGCCGCTATATATGTTACCGTTTTCATTCTTACAACAACACAGTTACCCCTGCTAATTAATTTGTATTCTACTCCATTTACAGGTATAGCCTTAGATTTATGGAAGCGATATCCAAAGTTAGCTCTTAAAAAGAATTCAGACAGAAAAAGTATATTAGAAATATTGGCTGGTAAGCCTCTGGCTTTTGAGAGTGCGAATTGGTGTCACCTTGGGTTTTGGGGACGCTTGATCTATGATTGTTAGTAACAACATTCTTCCTCTGTATTTAATTCTCATGCCTTATAGACTCAGATACACTCTACCAAACCCATCTCGTATATTCACATGCTCTTATTGTTGTTGCCTGTCTCTGCAGGGATTCCTCTGCAAGAGGAATATGTTCCTCACAATGGAAGTAACAATGGGGACATGGAAAACGCTGTTAAGGGTTCAGATGAGTTTAAAGAATCCAAACATTTTGGACCTATTCGTCGAATAATCTATGCTTCATTTGGTTTGTGCACCTCCTATGGATCTATCTATCTTATATGCTAAATACGTAGTCATTCTGAAATGGATTATCCTACAAACCAAAACAATTTATAATAATACTTGTTATAATACAGGTGCTTTGCGCCAAATGATCTGGCCTGTCCTCATGCTGCTAGGTAATTGGTTCTGAACAATTCTCCTAATTATATGGAGTATATTGAAGGATTTCTTTTTCTTGTTACATTAACTTGAGTTGTTCAATTGCAGTCGCAGACATCAAAAACATTCGCGATACAAAGTTGACTCATATTCAAACCGTTAAAATTGTTAGAATCTTGTGTCATGGTAATGAAGTTACTTGGAATCGTACAGAGGCCCTTGAAACTTTCTGCTTGCCATTGCTTGAAGCTGCGAAACATGGGATTTGCGAGATTGTCAGTGAAATTCTGAATGCTTATTTCTATGCTTATACCTACGACTACAAAGATAATAATCACGGTCTACTTCATATGGCAATTTTACATCGCCAAGAAAAGATTTTTAAAATTTTACAAGAAAGGAATGTGTATCGATCAAGCTGGAAAGCGGTCAACAAAAGTGGAAAAACTCACAACATTTTGCATTTGGCTGGACAGTTGGCAGCTTCAAGTCAAGTCTCTGGTGCAGCATTGCAAATGCAGAGAGAATTGCAATGGTTCAAGGTATACAACTTATTTTATCATCTTAACTTTTACTTCAAATGATTATTTTATTGGAATTTTGTTCTTGCCTCTACATGCCTTGATCTTACATCAAACTGCAGATTTGCCAAAAATTTTAAATGCGGTACTTTCATTTCTCATATAGGATTTCATGTGTATAATTGAACGTGCGAGAGATTTAGAAATCTGGCCTATATATGATTTTTACTCTAATTCTAAAGTTTCCTTTATTTTTTCTGGCCTCGTTAATATTTTTTTTTTCATGACATTTAGTTCTTCTATAACATTAGAGATTTTTTGTTTGAGAATCAAACTTATTACTGCTCATGCTTACCCTAGCTAAGGTTTCATCTTCAGGCTGTGGAAAGTTATGTCCATCCATCCCTTCAAGAGCAACAAAATGGGAATAATAAAACTCCTAGAGAAGTCTTTACAGAAGAACACAAGGAATTGGTTAAACAAGGTGAACAATGGATGAAGGGAACTGCTGCATCATGCAGTGTTGTAGCCGCATTGATAATAACTGTAGTTTTTACAGCAGCTTTCACCGTACTAGGTGGCAACAACAATGACGAGATACCCAATTTCTTGCATGACATAGCTTTTATAGTCTTTGTCATATCAGATCCGTTTGCACTCTTTTCTTCTACGGCTTCAGTGTTGATCTTCTTGGCAATCCTCACTTCACGTTATTCAGAGGACGACTTTTTGGTGTCATTGCCAAAGAAGTTAATCATTGGCCTTATCACTCTATTCTTTTCTATTGCAAGCATGATGGTAGCATTTGGTGCAACCCTGTACACATTTCTTTCTCATTCATGGAATTGGACTGTCATTCCAATTTCGCTACTTGGATGCCTCCCAGTGACCTTATTTGTCATGTTGCAATTTCCTCTCTTGGTTGAAATTTTCTTGTCCACTTATAGACCAAGCATTTGACATAACCCCAAATAAATAATTCAGGATGTCACTCTGGCAATAGCTGCCGCAGCAGATCTTTCTTTAGTGAATAAACTTGTATGAGGTGTTAATTTCATGTCCTATAGTGTGGTAGAGTCATTTAGTTTTCTACCGTGTAATGTGAGTTGATTATTTCAAGGTTGAGTCATCTTATTATTATTATTATTTTATTTCCTTGTAAGCAGCTTATGTATTGATCATTCTACTATTTAATATAATACTGACTTAGGTCTCCACATTATAATATTATTTTGGCTTTGAAAATGCCCTAACTTCATCGGCTTATGGCCCAAAGGTTTTGGGCAGACCACAGCCCACTTACATAAATAAAATGGTTAATTTAGCTCAACACAAAGGCCCATTTGATCTAAACTATAGCGACTAATGATAATTTTATAAACTAATTATCTAAAAATATAAATAACTATAATGGGTTAATACTTGGAAATTTCTCTTTCATTTACAAAGAAAGGAGAAAATCCAAATAAAAATAGAAGTTAGATGGTCTCTTGGTTGCTAATTGCATTAAATGATGGTAATTTGTTTAATAAACAAAGGCAACCCAAAATTAATTAATAATCATTCTAAGTAAAATAGTAAATGCCATTTTACAATCAACCAGCCAATTAACTTATAAACTAACTCAACGGATCTCCTGTAACGAATTTAGAATCACATTGTGAAAGTAGAAAAGAAAATTAAGAAGCTTATAAAATAGGGCTTAATTATGTTACCCTCTTTTACTATATAGTCTCATACAACAATTTCAATAGATATGGTATACTGTATATTCACAAATCGATTTTTTTTAATGAATTTCATTATTGATAGAGCTTTTAATAGAATTTAAATAAGATATGGTATACTGTAGTTTGTTCAAAATTAAGGCCCCAAGCCGGAGCTGGGCTTTAAAATCCTTTTTAAAAATAACTTATTTTTAATCTAATCCTTGAAAATATTATCTAGTATTATATATTATCTTAATGACTACTACTTTCTATCAACATGTATTATTATATGCATACATTGAAACTATGCTCTTTATTTCACTTTCAAATTGAACGATTTTTATTCATTAATAAATTTAAAAAAAAAAAAAAAAACAAAATATAAGGCAAGACCGTCTTCAAAGAATATATATTATGAATTATTGGTGGTGGTGTCATTAGTAGAATTAGATTAAATATAAGGCAAGACCAAATCAATAGGCGCATAAATAATTTCATGTGATTAGGTGGGTTTGTTCCAAAGCAATGGGAACTACTCAGTCCATTGTATTTTACTCATAATTTCAAGGCCGAACGACTTACACGTACCCAAGGTTTGGTGAAACGATGATTGGTACCCAAAAGGTTTCAAAACGACAAACAGATACATTTCGTCATGTGCCGTTAGTGATTTCCGTTTGCTAATGGTGAAAAGACTAGAATACCCTTGAAAGTTTGATATTTTAGTTTTTTATCAATTTAAAAATTTCTAAAAAACCTCATAGGTTTGCTAATTTAACTAAACACCCCAATATATAAAAATTTTATAAAATGACAAAAACACTTTCACCACCCGCAGTACCAAATTCCGGCCACCATCGCCGGAATCTGGCCAGAAAATTGCTTTACAACACAGACCGGTCGGATCTGTGTCGCTGATGGCCAAATCTGGAGTTTTACGGTCGTGACGACCATATCTAGTCTAGATCTGGCTTTTTCCAACCAAATCCGTGGTAGATCTGGTCGGAAAAGGCCATATCGACGTGTTACGACACAGATCCGACTGGTCTATGTTGTAACATAATTTTTCGGCTAGATTCTGACGTGGCTGAAATCCACCGTCGGAATCTGACACTACTGGTGGTAGGGGTGTTTTTGTCATTTTATAAAAATTTTATAAAATGACAAACGTGGGTGGGTGAGGGTGTTTAATTAAATTAACAAACTTAAGAGGTTAAAAATAATCTAAATATTGTTAGAAAACGCTATTAAAAAATATACAAAAAATTTCTCAAAATTCTATCCCATTTTCTAAAAATGCTATTCCAAATATGTTGACAGAAGAATATGTTCAAGCTTCTAACTAAAGCAAAATATGAGCTGCATGCATGCAACATCCTGTCGGGCCACGTGCATCAGTTAAAGTCAATAACCAACCTGCTTTTGTTAATGCAAGTTGCATTCTGTGCAGTTGATGCAAGTTGATAATCAACTTGCATGCGACAGAAGAAGTGCAATCATCTGTTATGATCGAATGGTGTATAACAAACCTCTTGAATTTTGGTTTAAAGGTGTAGATTTAAAGTTGATTAGAGTTTGTAATACGCCCTCGCGTGTATATAAGCCACGAGTGTGCCTTAACCGAGAAAAGATGGAATAAGACAAACCTTTGTCTTCAGAATTTTTTACTTTTGCTCTGTTTCTTTTGTAATATACCATCCAAACATGTCTTAGATTAGATTCTTTATCAAATCATTCTTGGAAATCACAACTTGTCTTGAAATACTCAGAACCTAACCATTCATGAGTCTATTTGAAAAGGCCCATCATTAAATTAAAATTATTTTAAACAACTCTATCAGTACTTTACGGCCTCAAAGTAATTCAATGATGTACTTAAAGTGAAGGAAATTCTTAACGTGCTTGCCTCGGAGCTAGCTTCCCTCATTTGATCGAACTCCATGATTACCCATAACATCACTTATGAGAAAGCCCTTTGACAATATTTCATTTCATACACCATATTTTAATAAATTCTCTCGTTTATCCTTTAAATAAAATATCATCTACTCATTATCCCACCGACTTTTAAACATTACTAAGGTCATGCATTTTAAAATCTTCTAAATATAAACATGTTTTGTAAAGGCTAGATAAATTAATGGAGTGTTGCACTTATTCTTATGAAGTCTAACAGTCTCCTTAATTAGGCTGTGGAGATTTGTTTGAAGATATGATCATCTCAAGTCTCAACATAAATCCACTTTAATAGCAGATAACTAAACAATAAAATCAATAAACCACAAGTATAAAATCGATAAAAGTTATAAAACGTTGCTGCTGAATGTGAGATTTAGAGAATGAACGAAAATTGTTATACCCATTGTTTGAGTAAACAGTTCAGGATATTACTAACTGAGTTTTACAGAGAAAACAACTCTCTTTTATATGAAGGAGAAAAGACTTGATACGGCATCGTTTTAGTGAAACAAAGCTAATTTACAATTTTCACCTCTTTTACTCGCTGGTCAACACTGAAGGAATTAATAGAGGTAGGTTTTTCTAATTGGCACCAATGGTTGATAATTTTGATCTTGTATATCTTATGAGTGTAAACACGATCTGATGTTGAATTAATTTTGCATAGACTAATTCGTTCTACTGGTAAGTTGATCAGTCCTATTTTATTTTATATTCTTGACAGATGTTAACTTAGATGAATGATCCAATTGCATACTTAATTTATTAATAGTTCATTAATTATATAATATATATCTTTTACCTTATCAGTCTTTCTTTAATCCAACCATATATGCATGTGA